TGATGATGATGATGATGATGATGATGATGATGATGATGATAGTCAGCTCAGGCGAACATACTGTGATGGGCTAGTATGAGAGATTTCCCACTTCCCTTGATACTTAAAGACTATAACCGTCACATGAGAATTAGGAAAGGGAACGGGCAATAGCTCCAAGGACTCTCCAACATGAGGCACAGGTGACGAGGCCTACACGGGATGTTTCATAGCAAGACAGATCAGTTCCTGTATGCGTGCCGACACTTCATCCGTGACGCGTCTGCCAGATGAGATCTAGTTGCCCAAATAACAAAATTTTTCCATTCGCTCTACTACGTCCCCAGTCAGGGTGAGGTTGGGGACTGGTACAACCCAACATTTTACACTTTAAATGTGCAAAACGCATACCGAATATGGTTACACTAGCACTCAAGCTACTCAGAAAAGCTTGCAACTTACCTGGATCATCACTTAACAGCATACTGTCGTCTGTATACTCCAGATCAAACAGTCTACCGCCTGGGAGCTAATCTATACCACTATCCTCGCAGGAGGATAGGGCTGTTTCAAGAACTAAATCCATGACAAAAGTTGAATAAAGCGAAGCGAGGGCGAAGAACCCTGACGAACACCACTTAATGTAGTGCCTTGAGCTCGGACTTAGAGTGACGGCATGATTTAGTAGTGATGGCAGCACAATTGGGGGATAAATGCCTGACTGGGGGAGGAGCATCGACATGTGCAGCCTTGAGAGTACATGGGGAGAGAGAGATGGCCGATGTCCATGAAAGGGAATGACTGTTTTGTATGTTGACTGAGAAAATCGTGACCCAAAGTTGGATCCATACACATTTTGGTTAAAAGGGAAAGTGTAATTTCCTCATAGCGATTGTTTTCCTAGTGTACATAGGTGTAAACATGTCCAGAAGTGACACAAGATAGGCTCGTTAAAGCCATGGATATGGTGCTTTTAAAAGACTCCACAGGTCAGTTGTGCTTCTCTGGAATATCGGATGATAAGTAGTTGTCGCTGCTACTAGTGTCTATAAGTGCGTACAGCGGCATTCCATTAATGTGAACCAGCACTGTAGATTTAGACAGCCCAGTGGATGATAATGCAACGATGAGTGATGAGATGCAGGGATTTATTGCTGAAATTGTGCGTTTGGTTTTGGTGTTTTGGTCACCCACAGAAAATGGAAAGGGTAGATACTGCTCCGATTACTTCCTGGCTTTTGGGTTGAGGTTCCGAAACATCTCGTTTAGAAACCGGAGCTGCTACATCTGATTGCATGGATTTGACACCGCATGGGACATAGGAGGTCGAATCACACAGTTACGACTTTTGTTGAGCGTGTTCTGACATCTGAGCTTCTTCGAATACATGTTAAAGATCAAAATTTTATTTCTCCATGAGTCGTTGGAAAATGTTATTGGACATTAGTCCTGTGATGAAAGCATTGCGGATAGCATCGTCACGACGCTTTTCGACAGAAACGGACAAGAAGTTACAGTCACCAGCGAAGCTGTGCAGTTTCTGCAGAAATTGATCGACTGGTTTTCCATATTCTTGTTGAGTTGCAGCTAATACATGGCGCGCAGAGACTTCTTTTTCGGTTTGTGGATCCATTGCTCGACTGCTGTAGGAGAATGAGAATCAGCGTCAAAGTGTTCGGGGCGGAAGAGACGTTCCATTGTTTGAAGATTAAATTGTTATATTTGACTGATGCACAGTAGTTGAAAAGAGGAATCTGGCCGAACGACGGCTTTAATCTTATAACAGTAGCTAAAATGTAAGAAATGGAACAGTTAGTATATTTCGATATGAAATGTGGCAGCAAACCAGTTTATGACACCACGTAAGTTGCAGACATTCCTGGTTAATTTGAGTTCTAGTGTAGCCGTGTTCGGTATACGTTCTGCACCTTCTGGGTGTAAAATGTTGCTACAAGATTGGGTTGTACCAGTCCCCAACTTCACCCTAACTGGAAACGTGGTAGAGCGAATGGGAAAATTTTGTTATTTGGGCAACTAGATCTCATCTGGCACACGCGTCACAGATGAAGTATCCTCACGCATACAGAAGACTGAATTAGAAGTTGCCAACTTGAGACATCTGTGGTGCCGTTGCGACATTAGACTGTCTGTAAAGAATCGAATATATGCTGCAGCAGTTCGACCAGCACTACTCCACGATACAGAGACTTGGCCACTACGGGAACAGGATAAAAATAGATTGTCGGTGTTCAAACACCGTTGTCTACACCGCACTGAACGAGTCTGGTGGGGTAACAGGACGAGCAATAGCGAGGTTAGGCGTAGGGTTTTAGGTAATCATGGTCGTCCACTGGGACAAGTGTTCGACGTCCATAGACTACACTGGTTGGAACACGTATTGCGCATTGCATCAAATAGATTGTCACGGCGTGTAATGTTTACCGAGGTATGAAGCGGATGGGAAATAGTCAAGGGCAGACAAACTAAAACCTGGCATGAGGGTATGAAAACCCTAACCAGGAGACTAGGTCACATAGGTCCCGTTAGGCTCCCTGGATGAGAACTCTGAGATTATGGTAACCGGCAGTTAGAGACAATGAGTGATATCGTTGGGTGTCGCGAACAGTGGCGCTCATGCACGTACTCATTATTCTTGCAACCTTAGCCTATAGGAATTCTCTGTCTAGCACTTGAATTCGATCGCAACATTCTAGTCATCATTCTTCTGTTTTATCCAAATGGTCAACCAAAAAGCTGCAACCAGAACCGGTGTATAAAAATACATGTTTTATGATAGTAAAAACTGCAACTGAAATCTGACCGGAGTCTTAGCACCACTTTCCTCTACGGACGGAGCAACGCCTGCTGAGACTCACACTGACAAGACTTCAATCGGTCAATCTTCGTTGATCTATCAACTTTCGGGGAGATTGACAACCCTCTAGAACTCGCTTCCGGCAACAGTAGTGGTGGGGGCTGGTGTTCAATCGGCGTCTGCATAAGTTCGACCTAGTGGTTTTGGAGCTTGCATGGGTATCTGGTCATCGAGGCCGAGCACTTGGCTAGCTAGCTAGCTAGCTAGAATAAGTAGACCTAGTGAATTTTCACGAGATTTTGACTTGGTTCTTACAGAGTAAATTGTGACTCAGGCTTATCGTGCGTCCAGTTCGTTTTGTCGCAGTTCCTTGAGTTCTCAACACAGTCAAGTCATCCACTTTGTCTCTGTTAGAGTATTACTAGTATTGAGACCACATGTTGATAACTCTTAAGCTCACAAGCATGATTCTTATTTGAGCCTCTAATGCTCTTCTTAACACTATCGTTTGGTGGTGTTTGGTTTACGCCTATGAAAAGATCTCTCCTACAAAATGCGAAGAAGAATTAGCTAGTTGAAAAACACTGCCCGTTAAAATGTCGGCACATTTTAGTCTTTCCGCGCTTATGTGCGCAGATTCACCGGTTTTAGCAAAAAAGTTGCCATCATCTTTTTAAAACAAATTTTGGTTATGCAGTTTAGAGTTTGAAACTCCTCTAACTAAAATCTGTTTTTTACGCTTCTGTTTCTTTTATTTTCTTTCAGTTTTATCCAACGTCTCTGGGCATGCTGTTCAAACAGATAGTTTCTGATGGGTGAGTTTTTTCTGTTTCCTTTATTTATTATCACTTAACTCCGAGAATTCGCATTCCAAACTATGATCATTGCTTTTATTACTTTAACATTCACCAATCACACAACTGGCAAATGTGCCACAGCATATGAACAAAAATCTGTAGATCGTGTCCACAGGTTGTGTGGGATGTTACTTCTTGGTTGCCCTGATCGAGGAAGGGGAATAACCTCGGGGTCCCCACCCGAAGCCTCTGGTTAGAACGTTAGACCTGCAAGACAACAGGACGGAGCCCAGAGTCCGCAGTCCATTTGAAAAGGAAACATGTGAAGCTGTGAGGAGGTAGAAGGATCCATAGGTGGTGGTGGTGGTGGTGGTGGTGGTGGTGGTGGTGGTGGTTGTCGATGACCTCTAGTTCCAAAACCCAGTTTAGACAGGATAAAACATCAATTACGACATTCGCAGCATCGGAGGGATGTCTGATATCAGTTGTGAACTGAGAGATTTCAGAACAAACGCTAATGGTTGTTGGTTGGTAACAAGTTTACGTTCTTCAAAGGCGTGTCGGAAGTGAAACAC